TAGCTTAGTATACGACTTTTCCCCCTGTTCCAACACTGGACACCTGTACTGGTTTTTGGTGGTAACGTGTTCCTGACGCTAGAATAGGAAACCACGGTAAACCAGTACGACGCCGGTACTGTCTGTAGGTCCTACAATGATATGGACTGCTTTGGCTGGTCCTGTAGTGGGATTCGAAAGTAGCTCGCGCGAGCTCATGTAACATAAATCTTGAAAAACCATTGGTTTTTTAGGATTCGGACAGCGCGCGCGGGTAGAAATTTTGAAAATTCGTACAGATGTTTTTCGAGGACCTACGGTGCGATTCGTATGATTTTATGTTGCGCGGTGCTAAAATTCCTAAGAAACCCAATGGTTTTTGAAGATTTCGGCGTGCGCGCGCGAAGAAAAAACGAATGTGTCCCGCATGGTATTATTTGACAGGGATGATGGCCCTGGCAGGTGCGCAACCGTTGTTGGAGAAGTTCGAAGCACGTGAAAAAGTTGCTCGCAAAAGCCCGTTTGACAGAAATGTTTAAAAAGTGTTGGGTTTCCTACAAATCCGCAAGAGCGCGCGGGATGAAATGTTGACACTTTTTTTTGAAAAAAACATTGGTTTTTTGATGTTTTTATGTTAAAATCGCTACGAACACTAAGGTTTTGGAAGGATTTCGTCTTGCGCGCGCGAATGTCCACTTTACCTTATGTTTTGCAAGGGATTCTTGAAGTTTGGTTATGTTAGAACAAGAAATGTCCACTTTGCCTTATTTTTTGCAAGGGAAAACCGCCCGTAACAAAACAACCGGATCCGGACCAACCCGTTTTGCCGGAGACTTCCTCACGAAAATGATGAAAACATGGCTGCGGCCTAGGCGCGGCGAGGGGGCCGTGCACCAGGGGTCCCAACAATAATTATTCTTTAGAAGTAATAATGTTCAACAACCACCACAACCACCACAACAACCACAACAACAATAATAACAAAAAGCTCATGATATGTACCCCGACAAAGTAGGTTGGAACATCATAACATCATAACCTTGATTTGAGGAGAGCGTACATGTGTGGCCAATTGTGTCTTTCCGACGCTCGGCCCTTTTTTGGGTGGCCGGCACGCTGTGAGCCTCCACACGCGTATCCGGCGATGTGATCCTCCGGATGTGCCAGATGTGGGTCCAGCCATGTGTGATTCGGAGGAGGGGAGGGAGGGAGGGAGGAAGGGAGGCAGGGGAGGGAGGGAGGGAAGGAGGGAGGGAGGGAGGGAGGGAGGGGAGGGAGGGAGGGAGGGAGGGGAGGAGGAGGATTCGGAGGACCTGGCAGGCGCAAGCCCACGGACTCTCTGCAGCTGCGGCGCCCCCCCGAGGAGCGACGAGGGGCGAGTCGCGAAGCGACCCGGCAGGGAAGGGGGGCTCCGCCTGGAGCCGATCCTGGCGTGCCCTTCGAGCGGAACCCGGCCGTGGCGGCTGGCCCCCAAATTCCCAAATGGGCGCTCCCAGGCGCTCCCAGGCGCTCCCTGGCGCTCCCAGGCGGTCCCAGGCGCTCCCAGGCGCTCCCAGGCGCTGCCAGGCGCTCCCAGGCGCTCCCAGGCGCTCCCAGCACGATCCCAGGCGCTCCCAGGCGCTCCCAGGCGCTCCCAAGTGCGACAACGGGGAAGGCCGAGGGCAAGAAACTGACACAGCTGGGGTCTGGCATCGCAAGCGGCGCTTGTGCTAGCCAAGGTGGCTCGTCCTCCTGCCCTTGGTCGGCCTGCGCCCGAGACGTCGCCGTCGAGCGTCTCGTCGTCGTCGTCCTCCTCCTCATCCTCCTCCTTCTCTTCCTCCTCCTCCTCCTCCTCCTCCTCCTCCTCCTCCTCCTCCTCCTGCTCCTCCTCCTCGTCCTCCTCATGTTCGCAGTGTTTTTCCTCCTCCTCCTCCTCCTCCTCTTCATCTTCCTTGTCATCCTCCCCCAAGTCTTCCCCGAAGAGTTTCCAGAGCGACTGAGGTACATAGTCCGATAGCTTGGGCCGTCCTGGGGTCAACCATTTGGCCAAAGAGGTGCTTTCCAAAGAAGCAGGGGCGGCGGTGATTCGCCACAGGCGTCTTCGATAGCTCCTTCCACAACATCACCCCAAGCTGTTCAGCTGCTCAGGGGAATCCTTACAAAACTATACTTGAACCCCCTGCTCGTTCTTCGATCCTCAACCCTCGATCCTCCTTTCTTTCGTACGGCCGCCGGAGCAATCCGCCCACATGCTGGCAAAACTGGCGTTGAGCTATCATGACACCGTTAAGCTCACGATGCCCCCGGCTGGCGCGCAGCGTGCAATCTCACGGGAGGGGTAGAAGCCGACGCACTGCCAACTACTACTACTACTACTACTACTACTACTACTACTACTACTACTACTACTACTACTACTACTACTACTACTACTACTACTACTACTACTACTACTACTACTACTACTACTACGCCTACTACCACCATCACCACCACAACGACCACCACGACCAAGACTATCACTGCTACTACTACTACTACT